AAGCTTAATTTAAAAGGTGCAGTGGTTCAAGATGTTTTCTGTTTTCTAAATCTTGTATGTAGGCCACAATGAATACCGCCTCAATAAGCATTAGACAGTGGCAGCGATGAACAAGAAAATCACTTCTTCTCAGTTCTCTCCTTCGTTTGGAAGCCGCGACGGCGTTTTCGTGTGAGAAGAGCAGAAGTAACAAAAATAGAAAACCTCTGAGACTAGCTTGCGTCACTTTTCATTTTACGCTAGCTACAAGTAGTTAACAAAGTTCCTGAATTCATAATTCCTTATAGTATGCCAATTATGTTGTAGGTTAATTATGAATATTCAAAACCGATTGTCAAGGGCTTTCAACGGAATCATATAAACATGAAAAAAATCACTTCATTCTTACCTTCTTGTGGATTCGAAGCCATGATAACAGCTGTGAGCCACTATACGAAAAGGAGAGGCACCAAGAACTGAACCAAGAGTATATCAGAGATCGAGGGAGGTTGCTCATAGTTAATCGTAACCATAGTTACACAATAACCTACTCCTCTGAAGTACGGCCTTCCTAACCAGTCCCCTCGAATATGGTCGAACGAAGCCTAAGAGTCGCTCGATTACGTAAATCAGGGAAAGCTTTAAAGGCTCGATGTTGATTGGTCCTTCCTGACCAAGGGACGAATCCGCATCGAATGTGTCTCCGTTACTATTTAAAAGTCCGATAAGCAAAAGTTTTCGTCAGGGTATTTCTATGGTGGAGTAAAAAATATTATTTTTTCGCGGTAAGTAGAGGTAATTCCAAGAGTTCAGATATTTTATTTTAAAGAGCCGTGCAGTTAATCTTTAGTTCACTCGATATTCAGATTGATTACTACAAGAAAATGGGGGCATGCGATCGTGTAATCCACACATGGAAGGTGGAACGAAAATAATCGATTGAAAACTCTCAATGTTTCACATGTGATGTGCAGATTTTCATCGAAAAGAAGACACGGTTGACAAAATCTTAATTTTGTCTGAAGTCCATCCTCGGAGACCCAGTGGCTGTGTGACGATTTCAAGTTAGGGCGAAAGAGCTCTTTCGCACTAACTTGAAATCGACTCACAGCCCCTGGGTCTCAGAGGGTGTCTTCAGTCTTGCGGCACTTTGCATTTCTAGTGTTGACAGCATAAATAGAGTCAATCGATAGATTCAGTCAATGCGTTAGGAGTCCTGAACTAGAGGATCCATTCGATCGAACAGGCGATCGTTTATCGTTCTGATCCAGCTCGTATTGCTTTCGTGGAGCGCTATGCTACTGTTTTACCTGCATGTACTTCTATATATCTATTGATCTATAAGAAGTAAGAACTATCCATCAACAAACGCTCTAGCAGTGGGAAAAGGGGCAGGTTACCTATTTTACAATTTACTATAAGTATTATCA